AAACACCCAAAACCTTTGAATTTCCTTTGAAGAAGAATTGAATAATTTGAGAGAATATGGAGGTGAAAGTGGCGTGCTTATGGGTAAGAGTGGCTAGGGTTTCACTCTTCAATTTTATATAACATAAAAATTGTATGTAGTTTCCCATTTTGCCCTTACTCTTTCTTTAACATTTCATCTATGTCCCTTAGTCAATTACCATAATGCCCTCATTTTTATTGCATTCTCCATGAAATTCTATCTCTTTTCACTCCTCACAATTTCAACTAATTTTGAGTGAAAAGACCATTTTACCCTTAATGCAAGTTTAAGGCATTTTCTTCACATTTTCCTTAAAATAACCTTAGCAAATATCAACTAAAGGCATAAGAACATAAATTAAATTACATACCTCCATGTGGGCATTACAATTCTCCCCCTTTTAAAAGAATTTAGTCCCTAAATTCAAACAAACAACTCCGGGTAAGGGTTCTGCATGTCTTACTCCACCTTCCATGTAGCTTCTTCAACTTTATGATTTCTCCAAAGGACTTTCACTAAAGGGATACTCTTGTTTCGAAGCTCTTTAATCTTTCTGTCCAATATCTAAACTGGACACTCCTCATACACAAGATTTTCTTCTAAGTCCACATCATCTACACTTAATATGTGGGAGGGATCACTTACATATTTTCGAAGCATCGAGACATGAAATACATTGTGTACTCTGTCCATGTTGGGTGGTAGTTAGCCTGATGGTACTCACCATGCTTCCCAATTGACTATAGCCCCTTGGTCTTAGGTTCGAGTGGTGAGGGAGGCGAAATAAAAATCCCTTAAAGGGGGGATAGTACAGAGTAGAAGTCACGCAGAGTTGGCCAAGGCCTGGCCGTGCCTCCGGTAAGATGGGGTTGTGACATATAACCAATCAAAACATCATTTTTTTATCATTTCTTTGATGAATATCACTATTACTACATTTCGAATACTTAACCCCATTATATATGTTACTAAAAAGATACGTTGTCTGCATTAACAATGTTACATTCCCAGCAACCTTAAAGGAATGAATGGATTCCGGTAACATAGAATTCCATTATCCTAAAATATAAAGATTGTAAATCTTTACCAAACAAATTGATTTAATGAGGCACAACAATGACTTTGGGCAATATTTTCCCACCATGACTACACAAAAACTTCACCCTGTTCCTCGCACAAGACGAAGACATCAACACCACACCATTGCCGTTGCCAACGCCAGCACCACCACCACCGTCACTGGCCACAGATGACCAAGTTTACTATACAAAGAAGAGTCGGTTTGGATGTATATAATATAATGGAATGGAATGAAATGAAATAAAATAATGGTTGAATGCGGAAAGAAAAAAAAAGGATGAGATTATTAGTGGGAAAAGGCTACAAATAGCAAAGGGAAAAGGGGAGACCACAAGTTGGAGGTTGGCTGTTGGCTATTTCTTGGGTCATTGTGTGTGTTCATGCAACAAAAATTTTGATTTTTTTTTTTCTGTTTGATTTTCTTAATTTTTGCATGAAATTTTGAAGATTCAAAGTAGACACTTGTGCCAACTTATACAGTAAAACCTCTTTATAGTCATAATGGTGGGACTAATTAATTTTATTACTATAAGGAGGTTATAACTTAATAGATGTGTAGTTACAAAAATTTCTTATTTTATAATTCATGTTTTAGTAGTACAGTATTAGGATTTCAATTTATGTTTTAATAGTATTAGGATTTTAATTTAGCGCTTCAATTGTCTACTTTTGAAACGGATAGAAGATCATGTCTTGGAACCAACAAAGATAAGTGTCCTTGATGAAGTTGTAAATACAATTGCTACATGGTCAATTGATGTAAAACTACAGACAATTGCCAATTGTTTTAAGCATTGCAAAATTAGGACCCCCGATGTCTAGGCATGGCAATAGGGCGAGCGGGGTGGGGATCTCATTCACGGTACCCAACCCCACCCCTACCTCATCCCCGTTACGAGGATGACAAGAATTCCCCTTCCCCGCCCCATAGGAGAATGTTGGGGGCCTGTCCCCACCCCATTAATTTTACATAAATATAAATTCATTTGAATATTACCAAACACAATAGTTAATTTTCGTCCACATGACAAACAGTTAAATTAATTGTTTAAACATAGTTAATTTTACATAAATATGGGTTAGGGTTTGTTCTTGTTCAATTGTTTAGCGTGAGGGAAATACGGAAAATATGAGTTTATATAGGTAGGATAATTGTATAATTAGGTGAAATATAGGAGTATTAGTGAAAAGTGTACATATATATATATATATATATTATTTTTAATTTTATATATAGAGAGGGGGGGGGATATGGTGTGGGCGAGGGAAAGGCATCGCCCACCCTCGCCCATCCCCGGAGATGGGGATTAAAACGCCCCCCACCCTCGCCACCGCCCCTACCCTTGAAAAAACTAGGGCTTCCCCACCCCATATGGGGCAATTGGCAAGAAATTAGATGTCAGAGTGAGAGGGGTTTTATAGAGAAGAGACCGAAGGTTCAAATGGTGGTGAGGGAGAGAATTTTCGCCACCATAATTGGCTTTGGGTATTAGAGAAATATAAACTTTGGGTGGGAAACTGATATTTTGAAACTTTTTGGGTGGAAAGTGTCATTAAGGCAAACCTTGGGTAGGAAAAAGTCGTTTACTCCAATTTTTATTGGATTGTTGTTAAGGTCATAGAAATAAATGGAAAAAATACATAGAATAAAACTTCGGTTTCAAGTGTATATGTAACATATTCATATGATTTTATCCCAAGATCTGCATTATAAGTTTTTTCTAGGAGCAACAAATAAGAAAATTTAAGTAAATAAAGGTTACGAAATAAAAATATGAAGTTGAGATGGAAGGGCATTGAGGTAATTCAATTTACAACATATTACTAAAAATAGAAGGTTGAAAATTAGGCTTTAAAGCAGTGTTCTGAAAACCGGACCGGACTATTCGATCGGACCAGTTCGACCAAGAGTTGGTGGCATCTTTGGTCCGGTATCCTCTAAAAACCGGTATTTTCAATCAAAACAGATTGAGCCATGGTTGGACAATCGGAATAGTGCCGAATCGCGGTCCAATCGCAACTCAATCCTGCCAGATTCCCACATCGTTCGAGGGAGAAAACAACACCATTAGAGTTGACGGCATCTCCACGACAAAACCCATCCATTTTCAATGGCCGTCGTCCAGCCTTCGTCGCTCGCCGTCCACCTATAGTTCACACGACCGTCAGACTTCCTTCTTGATTCTGGCAAGTTCCGACGCCGATGGAACTCCCTAACACCACCATCAGATTCGTCGGCACCTATACATCAAAAACCCCATGATTCCAAACTTCGATTGGCTGTCGATCGTCGCTGCTGCCACTAGTCTCTTCGCGTGATAGGGGTGTTTTGGATAGATTTCAAACCTTAAGGGAGTATTATAGGGGTGTTTTTGATGAATTTTAAACATTTAGGGACTAAAAAAATTTTATAGGATACGGTCCAATCGACCGATCCAACCGGTCAAACCGAAAACTGGACCCTTGAACGAGTCATAGTCTGGTCCGGTTTTCAGAACATTGCTTCAAATTTGAAGTAATGCCTGGTGTAGACGTTATGTTGTTTTTCAGTCGATTGGTTCTCTTGTCGGTGTCAATGACCGAATAAAGAACCTAAACATGTTGGAACTTGGAAGTGTGGAAATATTGAGCTCATGGGGCCAAGAATGCTTATGTGGTGTTATGTGTGCCAACTTTTTCCATAATCGGAACCCACTTGAAATCTATGGTGACATGGCATAGTGTGACATTTCTCTCCCCATGAAAGGGGAGTATTTTTTCTTAATTAGAATTAAAATTGGCCCCCATAGCTATGATAAAATTGGCCAAAAATTATCGCAATATCTGAGATTTTAAGAAAAAAAATTTAGTAGGTAGGCTTGAAATTTCGAGATATCAAAGCATTAAAAATAAAAAATATAATCTCTTCCACTGTGGTCGAATGAGAAATCTTTTAGTCATTAGGGTTAACTATATTTAAGGGTCTTGTGTTCAAGCAGCGGGAGAGAAGCGTAACTAGGTTTTGACACTATTTGTCAGAACTATATGCTTAACATTGAATCAAAAGTTAAAACTATTAATAAAAATGCAATCTTATTTCCTTAAACCATCAGCCATGTGTCTATGATTTAAGGTGCTTAGCCCCTTAATCTCTACCATAATAGGATGTTGACCCACTTAGCTAACAAGAAATTATTATTTTTATCACGGTAACAATGTTTTAGTAACGTTTAATATAAATTACTAACATATTAAATGTTCACGAGATAACATAGCTATTAGCATACAGTTATTAGATTTTAAAATGTTGTTATATATTATTGGAATATTGTTATAATAATATTTTGGTATGATGTTAAAATGTAATTAAAATGCCAGTGGATGCTATTAAAGTATTACCCTTTTCGAAATTGCGAATAATTTTTTTTTTTTTTTTTAAAAAGCCAAATGCAAAATAAAAAGTCAATTAAAAAGGTAATTTATAAAAGAATTAAATGGTGTTCACTTAGAAAGAAGGCAAATTTTAAAAGCTTTACTTAGAGGAGGTGTTTGTTTCTTTGGGCTAAATAGTTGGTTCGCTTAGAAACCCAAAAAAAGTTTTAAATATGGGCCCTATTAGAGGACATTATTGATAGAACGTGGTAAGAACAGCTGCTAAATTATAGGCTTTCTTTTAATTTAGTTGTAAGTTTTAAATATGGGCCTCATTAGAGGACATTATTGATAGAACGTGATAAGAACTGCTCCTAAATTATAGGCTTTCTTTTAATTTAGTTGTTTGTGGTTGAACGTGTAATGTGTTGTGAAGAATATGGTTCGATTTTTATTCCCTGTTTGTAGAGCTAAGATGTATTTAAAGTTGTAAAGTGATAAGAATAAAACAAGCCAATTTTATATTTCTCTTTTATCTTTTATGGTATCAGAGCGGTGCTGTCATGGAACAGATTTTTTTTCTTCATCTATCTATTCTCTTTAAACAATGTCCGCCTCCTCTTCTCCACGATCCAATTCTTCACAGGCAACTCTAGATGCCTCTCTCCTTAATCGAATTCAGAATGGTCCTCCTCTCACTCAACCAGTGCCTCCCCCAAACGCAGGCAACACCACTGTGTTAGGTAATACTACTGTCCCTGGAACTAGCTTAATTTCTCTAAATGCCTCTTCTCAAATCCCTTTCAAGTTAGCAAAAGGAGTCAACTACTCCTCTTGGAAATCTCAAATGACCAATCTATTATTTGGTTATGATCTGCTTGGATTTGTTGATGGTTAGCGCCCCTGTCCACCACCAACAGACCCGGAATATCGTCTATGGTTCAGGCAAGATCGTCTTGTGCTTCTAGGCATTCAAGCCACTGTCAACAGTGCAGTTGGTCCTACTATAAACAGTTGCTCAACCTCTGCAGATGCTTGGGACAAGCTTCAAGCAAGCTATGCAAATCGATCCAACACAAGGATGCTGACTCTCCTCACCACGTTGATGAAAACAACCAAGGAGGGTATCAGCGTATCAGAATATATATATGATGAAGATCAAAAGTGTGATTGACGACCTAGCCTTAATTGGTCATCCCGTGAGTGATAAAGAGATCATAGGCCACACTCTCAACTTCAAGATGAGTTTAAAGAACTGACTGCTGCTGTTCGGGTTCGTGACTCACCTATCAGATTTGAAGATCTTTATAACAAACTATTAGATGAGGAGCTGATTCAGAAATGAGGAGAAATTAAGAAGACAGACACTCCCGTTACCGCTCAATTCACTCAAAGGAGCAGTTGGAATAAGAATAAAGATGGTTTTACTCACAATAGAAATTTCTTCTCAAACAATAGGTCACCCCAGGGATCTCCCAGTCAACAACACTTCAATTGCAACCGAGGTTACTCTCGTAGTCTCCCTTATCAAGGTACTGGCTACAACTCTGGAGCCTTTTCTCAACAATCTAATTCTTGGAGGCCTAATTTTCAGCAGGGACAACCCAAAGTTATCTGTCAATTGTGTGACAAAGTAGGCCATACCGCTAAAGTCTGTCGCTCGAAACCAAAACCAACCCAACAACAAACTTGGCCGTAGGCTAACATGACCACCAGTGACGTTGGCTCCTCCAATGGCAATTGCGTTCTTGACTCTGGTGCAACCCATCACATTACCTCTGATCTGCAAAATCTCTCCATGCACTCTGACTATGCAGGGAATGATGACATTATTGTTGGCAACGGCACTGGTATTTCTATCTCTCAAACTGGATCTTCTACGCGTACTACTCCAACCACGACATTTACTTTAAATAATATTCTGTGTGCTTCTTCTATTAAAAAAAAAAAAATCTTATTTCTGTTTCTCAGTTCTGCATCCAAAATAACACCTCTGTTGAATTTTTTCCTCATCATTTTCTTGTGAAGGACCTGAGTATGGGGGCATCCTTGGTACGAGGCCGGAATAGGAACAGTCTATACGAATGGCCGACATCAACTCCAACTCCACCTTCCGCTCATCTCACCATGACATCTTACTTATGGCATCAACGCCTTCGTCATCCCTCTCTTCCCATTTCGCAAAAGCTTCTCGCAAGCCAACAACTCCCTTGTCATGACTCTTCCACCTCTAGATTTCATTGCGTCTCCTGTGCTTGTAATAAAAGTCACAAATTATCCTTTAAGGTTTCTTCTATTTATTGTCGTGCACCTTTTCAGGTTATTTATTCAGATGTTTGGGGTCCATCACTGATTATTTCATCAATAAATGTCGTTATTACGTTATATTTGTTGACTACTTTACGAAATATACTTGGTTTTATCCCATTAAAGTCAAATCTGAAGTTCCCGCTATTTTTGAGTGATTTAAAACCTTAATTAAAAATTTTGTTCACACAACCATTAAGACGGTTTACACTGATGGAGGTGGTGAATGTCAATCCTTAGCACACATACTTGCAAAATATGGCATTCAACATCTCACATCACCTCCTTACACTCCCGCATATATCGGCTCTGCTGAACGAAAACATCGTCATATTATTGAAACCCGTCTCACCCTTCTCCACCACGCTTCTGTCCCTCTTCATTTTTGGTCTTTTGCTTTCCAAAACGCTATTTATCTCATTAACCGTATGCCCTCACCCACTATCGCTTTTGACACTCCCTTTCACAAATTGTTCCATCACCATCCTAATTATGCTTCTCTTCGTGTTTTTGGCTGCCTCTGTTATCCCTGGCTTCATCCCTACACTGCTCACAAATAAGAACCTAAATCTTGTCCTTGCATATTTCTCGGTTATTCCATTGCTCATCACTTTTTTTATTGTTTTGACCCACACATTAATAAAACCTCTGTGTCCCACCATGTTAAATTTGAGGAGACTTTATTTCCTTTTTATTGGATAAGGGTACACCTATGATGGGTTACCCCAAGCGACTTGTGTGGAATGAAACTGCCAAATGCAGTTTCTCTCTAACTGCTACATATAAAAGAAAAAATTATACACAACACACATCAATTTCAAAAAGAAAAATACGCTCTCTCTCTCTAGAATTTGGAAAACAGAAATATACTTCGTGGTTTTCTTCCAGATTAATTTTGTTGCTTCAGAGATAACGAAAAAAAGGTATTTATACTGTGTTAATTCATTATAGTTCATGTATATACAAATGTGATTGCAATGGTGACAATGATCTTGGGATTATGTTAGGATATATGTTATTCTATGTTATTTCCAACATTGGTATCAGAGCCATGGTTCATATTGTTTTAAATTCATACTGTTAATGTTGAAGCATGTTATTGGTTTATCAAATGCAGTTCTGATTTTTTCAAATTTTGTATGTAAAAAGTTGTCTTTCTGGTAATGATAATTAGACCATTAAATTCCTTATGAAATTATGAAGAAAATGGTTTCTGAATCATAAAAAAATGGAGTTAAAATGACTTAGATATGCCTCTTTGAAGTTTCGGGTTTCGTATGGGTTAATTTTCGGGTCAGGTACCCAGTTGCAGGCCCGGACAGAGGTTGAAGACGACACGAACCGACATGTCATTTTCGATCCACCCTTATGAATGACATGTCGTTTTTTTCCTGATTTACTTCTTTTTGAAAAAAATTTCAAATCAGCGTGGTTGGTGTGACTTGAACCCAAGTCTCCATGGCTAAAGCCCAATTACCTAACCAGTAGGCTAATTTTGTTTTTGTGTTAACTATATTCACAAACCCAATATAATGCTATCCGGCCCAACACATAACCAAAATAAAATGGGTCAAGTTGACCCGTGGACCCGACCCATATGACCAAACGAGTTAGTCAAACCCGGTAATGAGTCAGACCCAACCCATAAAGTCAAACGGGTCAGCCGAACCCAGTCAACGCTTGACCCGCAAGACAAAACGGGTCAGTCAAACCCGGTCAACACCCGACCCATAAAAGTCAACAAGGTCAATAGGCCAAACTCGGGTTAGGATTTGACCCAGGCGAATGTGAAATGGGTCGACCCGACCCGAATTTGTGTGAGCACGTGCCACGGGCGTGGAGGCGCGTGAACTCTTCTAGGCGGCGCGAGGAGGCGTGTGAAGTATTCAAAATTTTTTTTTCCTTTTGCTATAAGGAATAAAAATGAATACTTAGTATGTTGTTATGAGTCTAATTTTTGTTATTAAACCATAAACACGTATATATATTATTTATCAAATATAGTCAACATTTATTTGATAAATAAATAGTTTTTTTTTTTGTATTTGTTACAAAAAAATGTTACGTTATAGACGTGCAATGGTTGCTAGAACACCCGCTCAAAGGGAAAGGGTTATGAACATGATTAGAACTCTACAAACTCACACATTGATTTTAAGAGACACAGAGGATGAGTTGGTGCAACTTGTAAATCATTTCATTCATGTGAATGAAAAAGATTCAGGAAATTGTCTGGATAGGGGGATTAAGGAAGATGAGTGAAATACCAAGTTTAAGAGAGACTCTTGGTTACCCTAATCTCGTTGGTCTCCTTGATATGGTTTGGACCAAGCTGAAAGTTCATACTTTAAAAATGGCAATAAAATTATAGACGTTAGTCAACAACTATCAAGGAGTACATAAATTGGGGTGCGAAAAAGACAGCTGGTGCATCAATAGGAGTCTCCACTCGTAAAGGACATCACAAGAAACTAGGAGTTCCCCTACCTAGGGTTAATTACAAGTTAGATAAAGACCTTAGGATAAGGATTATCATATCCTTCCCGTTTTAGGAATGTGGCTGTACACTTAATTTTTTTTTTTAAACTATTTGTTTTATTTCATTACATGTGAATTCTATTTACATAATGGAATTAATTTTATTTATTAAAATTTAAATTTTATGTGAATTGATGTTGATTTATTTATATAATTGTGCTAAATATATTTTTAGAATTGCAATTAATTATTCTATGATAATTGAAATGGAATTTTGGATGATGATTGTTGACATTGTTAACTTTTGATTCCAAATCTAATATCATTATTATTGTATATATTAATTAAATGAATTGTATGTTCCGCATTGAATAACATGCATTATCCAACGTGTAATTTTGTTTAGAAATGGCATCTGCATCTAAGAACATTGTCGTCGAACTTAACAAAGGAGAAAAATTTAACGGCGACAATTATGAGATATGGAGCATGAAAATCCAATATGTTTTGGAAGAACAAGAGGTTCTTGAAGCTCTTACTACACACCATGAAGAGCCTGAAGAAGGAGTCATGACTCAACATAGACGAGACCGTGCAACTTATGACATATGGAAGAAAAGAATCCACTGCTCGCATTACTTTGTTGAGCAGCATGACAATGATATCATGAAACAGTACCGGGATTATGAATTAGCAAAGGACATGTGGTCCGCACTTGCTACAAAGTTTGGTGGTACGTCCATTACCAAACTCCGGTCACTCACTATCAAGTTTGACACATATAAAAAGAAGACTGAACATACTATGAGAGTACATTTACGGCATTTGTCAAACATGATAAGTGAGTTGAGAGATGCAGTCATGTCTTAACTGATGAACAATAGGTTCAAGCTGTCATAAGGTCATTGCCTCAAATTGGGAACATATGAAAATACACCTTACCCACAATGAGGGCATCAGAAATTTAGAAGATGCCATACGCCTTTGGAACTGGAAGAAGATCGCCTTAATGCGAGTAAGGCAAATACTGATGTGTATATGGCTGGTTCTAGCTCACATGGTGGGAAGGGATTTAACGTAAATTCCAAGGTGGATCCCAAAGAAAAGGCAATTCTGATAAGGCTCAAGGGAAGAAGAGAAAGTTCTTCAAACACGGAAAAGGAAAGCATCCTGCCATGAAGGACTTGGCAAAGGTGAATGCTATAATTGGTGTAACAAGGGACATTTTGCTCGCGATTGTAGCGAGCCGAAGGTAAATTACTTGTTTGCACAAGTAAGTTATATAAATGTTTCCAGTTCTGTTTTTCTAACTGAGTCTCATCCTTTGTGGACTATAGAATCAGTAGCAACAGACCATACGAAAGACAGGAGTGCTTTCGTTGATTTTCAAGAATGCCAGGAACAAAATGGATATATGTAGGTACAATTCAAAAGTGGAAGTTAAAGGGATCAGCAATGCAAATTGATCATGCGTGGAGTCGATCCTATACCTACATCTGACGTGTTATTTGCACCTGATATTCGTTGAAATTTGATTTCCGTGTTAGAACTTGTTAAACTTGGTTTTCATTTAAACTTTTCCAGTACTGGTGCCATTTATTTTTGGACACAACATACTATGGTTGTGGTTATATTTCGGATGGTTTTATAGTACTTGATGTTGCTTATAATTATAGTAATGTATGTTTTTCCTTTATTACATCTTCAAATAATGATGATGTGAATATATGGCATGCAAGCTTGGCCATATGGCCAACAATGAATGAATATCCTAGCAAGAGAAGGCTTGTTAGGATCCTTAACAAAAGTGACTTGACTACTTGCGAATATTGCCTAGCTAGAAAAACAGCAAGAAAACCATTTGGAAAAGCGATAAGAGCTGAAGTTCCATTGCTATAATTCATTCTGACATATGTGGT